TATTATTTCCCCCTTCTGCCTCCACAAGATTATCTCATTTGTACAGTTCTGCTCTATGCAACTCTTGATCAAGCCAACTTTATTTATATAACATTTTCCCAAGTGCTCACATTCCTTCATGAGCATCACCATATGAATCCTTGCAACAATGCTATAAGGCAGATCAGCATTATTATAAGGCTGTTCAGCCAATCATCAGTTAAACATTACAAGTCTCTCCCAATGTCATGGAAACAGAATTCCAATCACGCGACAGGAGTCACCATCAATTTCCTCCCACCTGTACTCCATCAAATTTATTCCCCTATTCATTGAAGCAGATTAGGAGGATCCTTTTGTATGAGCATAAGTCCACCTGAGTGCCACTGGATGAAATCCATGATATTGGAGAGAAATGAAGAGAGGAAGCCTTTCCTCCAACTTGGCAGACAACATTCAATTAATTAATAATAATAATTAATAATAATTAATTATATTTATACTCCGCCTATCTGGACTACCAGTCCACTCTAGGCTTCCTTGCTTTTTGGTAATGCAATAATCTGCTATGCCTCAGTTAGAGGTACAGTGGTGCCTCGCTAGACGATTGCCTCATGGGACGAAAAACCTGCAAGACGATTGGTTTTTGAGATCACTATGGTGCCTCGCAAGACTTTTTTTCTATGACCATGCTTTGCAAGACTTTTTTTGAGACCGATGCTTCACAAGACTTTTTTTTAAGACTGATGCTTCGCAAGACTTTTTTTTTTTTTTTTGCCCGATGCATAGGGAATCTCACAAGATGATTTTTTCACAAGATGACGATTTTCGCGGAACAAATTAAAATCATCTTGCAAGGCACCACTGCACTTACAATGAATGGGCTTTGTGAACTCAGGGGAATTTCCCACCCAGGAAACACACTATAATGCACAAAAAGGCTGCTCATCTTCCATGTGAGAAAAGAGTCCACATCCTGACACATATTTATAAATGATTACTTCAGGAAAAGGCACTCCCTGTTGCCTGCCAGACTGCATACATATTCATATGTGGAAGAAGTAAATCATAGAAGATGGAAGCAGCCTATGAGGCCATCAAGTCCAACTACCTGCTCAATGCAGGAATACAAATCAAAGGTTATCTCCCAGATGGTTGTCTAAATTTCTCTTGAATGCTTCCAGTGTTGGAACACCCACCACCTCTTAAGGTAATTAACTGTTAAATATTTTATATTGTTTTTAGTATATGTTGTGAGCCGCCCAGAGTAGACTATGTCTAGATGGGCGGCATATAAAACAAACAAACAAACAAACAAACAAACAAACAAACAAACAAACAAACAAACAAACAAACAAACAAACAAACAAACAAACAAACAAACAAACAAACAAACAAACAAACAAACAAACAAACAAACAAACAAATAAATAGTAATTTGTCCTATTTGCATACTGCTCTAACACTGTTTTTATATGGTGGTTCGGGATGCACAAAAAGTCATAAATTTCACAACATTTTTAAAAGAGAATGAGGAAGAAAGAAGGGAAACAATAATATTTCAAGTTTCAAAATATTTCATATAATTACACCAACTTCTTTACAGCAACAATTCTGCAAGGTTGCCAATGTTTTATAATGCAGTTTGATATCTGTGTTTGAGGCTAAGAACAGTGTTTCACATTAGATCATCTACTTCAAGGCAGAAGCCATTACACTGTAGCTGCACATATGAGATGGATGTACATAGTAAAATAAAACAAAGACAACTAGGACTGCTAAAGGAAGATCTTTTCTTTATAAGGCAAAAATTCTGTGAGAAATCCTTCATATGACTTTTGCATAGACTTGCAGCAATATTGAGGATTTTTCAGCACTAAACAATCTAGATAATGATTTGTTTGTTTGTTTAGTCGTTTAGTCGTGTCCGACTCTTTGTGACCCCATGGACCAGAGCACTCCAGGACCTCCTATCCTCCAGCGCCTTCCGGAGTTGTGTCAAATTCATGTTGGTTGCTTCGATGACACTGTCCAACCATCTCATCCTCGGTCATCCCCTTCTCCTCTTGCCTTCACACTTTCCCAACATCAAAGTCTTTTCCAAGGAGTCTTCTCTTCTCATGAGATGGTCAAAGTACTGGAGCCTCAGCTTCAGGATCTGTCCTTCCAATGAGCACTCGGGGTTGATTTCCTTTAGAATTGATAGGTTTGTTCTCTTTGCAGTCCAGGGAACTCTCAAGAGTCTCCTCCAGCACCACAATTCAAAGGCATCAATTCTTCGGCGGTCAGCTTTCTTTATGGTCCAGCTCTCACTTCCATACAACACTACAGGAAAAACCATAGCTTTGACTATTCGGATTTTTGTTGGCAAGGTAATGACTCTGCTTTTTAAGATGCTGTCAAGGTTTGTCATTGCTTTCCTCCCAAGAAGCAGGCGTCTTTTAATTTCGGGGCTGCTGTCTCCATCTGCAGTGATCATGGAGCCCAAGAAAGTAAAATCTGTCACTGCCTCCATATCTTCCCCTTCTATTTCCCAGGAGGTGATGGGACCAGTGGCCATGATCTTAGTTTTTTTGATGTTGAGTTTCAGACCGTTTTTTGCACTCTCGTCTTTCACCCTCATTACAAGGTTCTTTAGTTCCTCCTCACTTTCCGCCATCAGAGTGGTATCATCTGCATATCGGAGGTTGTTGATATTTCTTCCGGCAATCTTAATTCCAGCTTGGGATTCCTCCAGTCCAGCCTTCCGCATGATGTATTCTGCATACAAGTTAAATAAGCTGGGGGACA